ACTCTCAGAGTAGTTGACTTTGGCAGGTGTCCTCAGTAGATGACACTATCAGATAAAGTCGATGGTCCCTAGACAGCTCGAAGGGACGTTTCTCCGAAGAAGACATAGTAGTGGCCAGCAGGTTCATCACGCATCATCAGGGAAATTCAAGCCAAAAGCAGTGACACATCACCTCACAGCTGCAAGGATGGCCATCCTTGAAAAACTGGGAGATAAGTGTCGGCAAGCATGTGGGGAAATTGGAAGCCTCTTGCACAGTTAGTAGGGATGTAAATTGGTGCAGCCACTCTGGAAAATAGTGGGGAGGTTCCTTATAAAACTAAAAATAGAATTACCATAGGGTCCAGTAATCCCACTCCTGGGTATTTATCCAAAAGAATTGAAATCAAGAGCCTGAAGAGACATTTGCTCTCCTGTGTTACTGCAAAATTATTCGCAATAGCCAAGATGTGCAAATGACCCAAATGTTTATTAATGGATGAATAAGAAAATTTGGTGAATACATACAGTGGAATGCTGTTCAACCTTAAAAAAGGAGGTCCTACCATTCGCAATGAAGTAGATGAACCCGGAGGATATTATACTAAGTGAAATATGCCTGGCACAGCAGGACAGGTACTGCATCATTCTGTTTCTGTGAAGATTCTGAAACAGTTGCACTCACAATGCAGGGAAGTGGACTGGTGGCTGGCAGCCAGGACGGGCCTTGGGAGACAGACGTTGGTCAAAGGCACAGAATTTCGGGTATGCAGGACGAGTCTGGAGCTGTCGAACCCAGGCCCACGGTCAGCAGCACCACACCACACTATGGACTCCGAAAAACAATCTGAAGGGTTTGAAGAGGTGGGGGTGGGGTGGGAGGTTGGGGGAACCAGGTGGTGGGTATTAGAGAGGGCACAGATTGCAAGGAGCACTGGGTGTGGTACAAAAACAATGAATACTGTTATGCTGAAAATAAATTAAAAAAATGATTAAAAAAAAGAATGTATATACCAAGCCAAAATAAATAAATAAATAAATAAATAAAATAAAATAGATATAGTAGAGGTAAGGAAAAGAAAAAAAAAAAGAATGCTTGGATCAACCAGGAAATCAAAGAAGAACTTAAAGAATTCATGGAGACCAATGAGAATGAAAACACATCGGTCCAAAACCTATGGGTTATAGCAAAAGCAGTCCAAAGGAGGAAATACATAGCCATCCAAGCCTCCCTCAGAAAAATTGAAAAATCCAGAATACACCAGCTCTATTTATACTTTGAAGAACTAGAGAATCAACAATAAATTAAGCCAACACAAGAAGGGAAATTATCAAGATTAGAGTAGAGATCAATGAGATAGAAACTAGAGATACAGTAGAACTCATCAATGAAATTAGAAGCTTGCTTTTTTTGAAAGAGTCAATAAGATTGATAAACCATTGATCAAACGAATCCTAAAGAAAAGAGAGAAGACCCAAATTAATAAAATTATGAATGAAAAGGGAGAGATCACGACTAACGCCAAAGAAATAGAAACCATCATCAGAAATTATTATCAACAGTTACATGCCAATAAGTTAAGCAACCTAGATGAAATGGATCCCTTCCTGGAAACCTATAAACTTCCAAAACTGAATCAGGAAGAAATTGACAACATAAATAGACCAATATCTCATAACGAGATTGAAGCGGTGATCAAAAACCTCCCAAAAAAACAAAAAGAGCCCAGGGCCTGATGGATTCTCTGGGGATTTCTACCAAACTTTCAAAGAAGAAACAATACCTATTTTTCCTGAAACTGTTTCAAAAAATAGAAACAGAAGGAAAACTTCCAGATTCTTTTTATGAAGCCAGCATTACCCTATCCCCAAACCAGGCAAAGACCCTACCAAAAAGGAAAAACCACAACAAATATCATACTCAATGGGGAAAAGCTGACAGCCTTCTTGTTGAGATCAGGAACACGACAAGGATGCCCACTCTTGCCACTCTTGTTCAACATAGCATTAGAAGTCCTAGCAACAGCAATCAGACAACAAAGAGAAATAAAAGGTATCCAAATTGGCAAGGAAGAAGTCAAACTCTCTCTCTTTGCAGATGACATGATTCTTTGTAGGGAAAACCCAAAAGACTCCACCTCCAAACTACTAGAACTCATACAGCAATTCAGTAAGGTGGCAGGATACAAAGTCAATGTACAGAAATCAGTGGCTTTCTTACACACTAACAATGAAAATACAGAAAGGGAAATTAGAGAATCGATTCCATTTACTATAGCACCAAGAACCGTAAGATACCTGGGAATAAACCTAACCAAAGAGGTTAAGGATCTGTACTCGAGGAACTACAGAATACTCATGAAAGAAATTGAAGAAGACACAAAAGGATGGAAGACCATTCCATGCTCTTGGATCAGAAGAATAAACATTGTTAAAATGTCTATACTGCCTAGAGCAATCTATACTTTCAAGGCCATTCTGATCAAAATTCCACAGGCATTTTTCAAAGAGCTGGAACAAGCAGCTTAAAATTTGTGTGGAATCAGAAGAGACCCCAAATTGCTAAGGAAATGTTGAAAAAGAAATAACTGGGGCAACATAATGCCTAATTTCAAGCTTTACTACAAAGCTTTGATCACCAAGACAGCATGGTACTTGCACAAAAACAGACACATAGACCAGTGGAATAGAGTAGAGAGCCCAGATATGGACCCTCAACTCTATGGTCAAATAATCTTTGACAAAGCAGGAAAAAATATATAGTGCAGAAAAGACAGTCTCTTCAATAAATGGTGCTGGGAAAATTGGACAACCATGTTTAGAAGACTGAAACTCGACCATTCTCTTAGACCACACACAAAGATAAACTCGAAATGGATGAAAGACCTCAATGTGAGGCAGGAATCCATCAGAATCCTAGAGGAGAACACGGGTAGTAACCTCTTCGACATCGGCCACAGCAACTTCTTTCAAGATAGGTCTCCAAAGGCAAAGAAAACAAAAGCGAAAATGAACTTTTGGGACTTCATCAAGATCAAAAGCTTCTGCACAGCAAAGGAAACAGTCAAGAAAACAAAGAGGCAACCCACGGGATGGGAGAAGATATTTGCAAATGACACTACAAAGGGCTGAACTCCTCAAACTCAGCACTCAAAAAACAGATAATCATATCAAAAAATGGGCAGAAGACATGAACAGGCACTTCTCCAAAGAAGACATACGAATGATTAACAAACACATGAAAAAATGTTCATCATCATTAGCCATCAGGGAGATTCAAATCAAAACCACATAGAGATTCCACCTTACACCAGTTAGAATGGCCAAAATCGACAAGACCATAAACAACATGTGTTGGAGAGGATGTGGAGAAAGAGGAAACCTCTTACACTGCTGATGGGAATGCAAGTTGGTGCAGCCAATTTGGAGAATAGTGTGGAGATTACTTCAGAAATTAAAAATATAGCTACCCTATGACCCGGCAATTGCATTATTGGGTGTTCACCCCAAAGATACAGATGGAGTGAAAAGAAGGACTATCTGTGCCCCAATGTTCATAGCAGCAATGGCCACGGTCGCCAAACTGTGGAAAGAGCCAAGATGCCCTTCAACAGACGAATGGATAAAGAAGATGTGGTCCATATACACTATGGAGTACGATGCCTCCATCAGAAAGGATGAAACCCAACTTTTGTATCAACATGGATGGGACTGGAGGAGATGATGCTGAGTGAAATAAGTCAAGCAGAGAGAGTCAAGTCTCATATGGTTTCATTTACTTGTGGAGCATAAGGAATAACACGGAGGACATGGGAGATGGACAGGAGAAGGGAGTTAGGGGAAATGGGAGGGGGAGACAAGCCATGAGAGACTGTGGACTCTGAGAAACAAACTGAGGATTTTGGAGGGGAGGGGAGTGGTGGTTGGCTGAGCCTGGTGGTGGGTATTGTGGCGAGATCGGATTGCATGGAGCACAGTGTGGTGCATAAACATGAAATTGGATCACTGAAAATAAAATGGGGAAAAAATAAAGAACGCCAGTGTTGACACCCAATGTCTATACTGGTCATTTATTCTCCGCATGTGCTGCTTCCCCAGCGTGAATATGAAGGTTCCTGACATTTGTGGCAGCTGTGAAATGTCCCGTAGGTGGCGATGAACTGCACAGTGTGCCCGCAGCTGGGCCAGGGGTTCTCAAAGAGGGGTCCCGGGGCAACAACAGCGGCCCACTTCGGGAATTATTAGGAGCTTCTACACTTCTGACCTCTCTGGGATGCACATGATATCTGTTCGTAGACTCTATTTCAGAAACCACCATTTAGCCGACAACAGGATCATCTGGAGGTTCTAAATTTGAAGGGCTCATTTGTATATCAAAATAGGCTTATTATTATTTTTTTTAGGAAAAAGGAATCTTCTAGAGGTCTTGCTTCTGCTACAATGTGGCATTTCTCTTTATTGCCAATAGACTCCACAAAATACTTGTTTGCACATTTTGTTACTTAAAAATTCGAATGGATCTCTCATCTCTTACATCACTTCAGAATGGTATCCAGTCCCAGACTTTGTCCGTAAAATGGAGTGTCTGATGGCATCTACGTGTGTATTTACACACATACATATCTTTTCACATAGTAATACAACTAGAGAGGAGTGTACATTTTTACCTTTAATTTTATCAGCATCCACACAAAAAGTTCAAAATACTTGAATTGCTCAAATTCCAGACTAATTAGCCAGAAGCAAAGAGTAGAAGGTTTTGTCAAGTTTATGGGAAAGGACAGCAAAACCCCACTTTGGGATTGCAGGCACTGTTGGACTGTGGAGGCTTGAGGGGCTGCGGGTCCATTAATCCACTGGGGACCCGACCAGGTGATGAGGGGAAGGCATGCATTATGGGGTCACTGGTCTGTCCAGGGACCTGTGATCGCGATATCATCCAGCCGCGGGGGTGCTGCCGCCATGCGCCTTCCCGGACCATTGGCCCTTTCAGCATGGAATCCTGTGTGTTTGTCTTGCAGGTGTACATATATGATGTGGGCTCGAGCACGTTTTCTCACAGACTGGCTGGACACACGGACACCGTCACTGGTGTGGCCTTCAGCCCGTCAGTCCCACAGGTACGTCTGCTCGTCCACGCCGTATGAGGCTTTCTTCGCGTTTTCTGTATCTGCTGGCCTTTGTTTGGGTGAAATCCTGTCACGTGTAGGGTGACGTGCCCATTTTCATCGCGTGCAGGAAGACCGGCACGTGCGTCGTCATTGGGCGCACTTGCTCGTGGCTGCAGAGGACATGGCGTGTCCACGGGCACTAGTGTGAACACTGGCGTTGGCGGCCCCAGAGCAGCTGAGAAAAGGGTGTAGAGAATTCGGGTGGAGGAGGAGGACCACAGAATTTAAAGACATTCGTGGAGTTAGGAGAAATGATGGGACGAGAGTGGCATGAGCTGCGGGTCAGTCACACGGGAGTGTGTGGTCCTGCATTAGAATCCTAACTGTTCACGTTGAGGTGTGGTGAATATTTGGGGACGTCGATTCAGAGGATAGCGTTACCGTGTGATTGGGTCACCTGGCGGCGTGTGCACAGGTCCCCGCGTGAAAGAAGTGGGACTGCCCTTCCCCCTCTCTTGCCCCCCCATCCCCCGCTCTGCCCACTGCTTCCGTCAGAGGCACCTTAGACACTTGGGCACATCTGGATTTCACTGACAGTGATGTCAGAGACACGGATGCAACAGGCTGGCCACGTCACTGACCACAGAGCCCCTGTCCGTGCCACGGAGGTCCTCACATGGCTCGTCCTGGCATCAACCATGACGTAACTGTGTGGTGCACTGCTGGGGTGTGTTCAGGTTCAAGTGTTCTCTGCACGTGTCAGGATACAAGGCCGTGCTGTGACGACCATGGGGGCCCACTTTTCTGATGGGTCACACGTGTTGTCGTTAGCTGTCGGAGCGCTTGGGTTGGTGCTTGAATCCTCTGACCTGGCACTGGGCAGGTGCGCGAGGGTCCGGGAGGGAAGGGGCGCAGACAGTAGCTGGGGTGAGAGGTCAGTGAGGCATGTGGCAGAGGGCAGGGTGCGGGGATCCGCAGGCAGGGGGTGATGTCAGTGGTCCTGAAAATTCAGTATTGGCATAAAAATGTCTGTATAACGGACTGAGAAGCTGCTCTGAACACCTCACCGTTTCCCCGCACAGTCAGCAGAAGCACGGGAGGCGAGAGGAGCAGGCTATCCCCTGAGTGCTGATTCCTGACGCGGCGGGAGGGGAGGTCGGTGCCCAAGCTGGTTTTCTGGCACTTCATGTCGGGGAACTGGGTGGGCACACGGAACACGAATGAGCATTTTCAAACGTTCACGTGCGCCACCGCAGTTCACTTTATACAATTGCTGTTGAGTTTCCGGAATGGCGGTACAACCACCCAGTGCTCATTATCTTTGCACATGCAGGTTCGTAACAAAAAGCCTCATTGTTCAAAAGTTTTGCGTTTTTGTCTGGTCACAGTTCTCAGAGGGATCTCTGTGAATGCTGCTTCAACAGTGTCCTCAAGATGTTTAAAAGTCTCTGTTTTTTAGTGTATTTGTTTGATTTCAAGATACACATTATCCCTTCACTAACATTTCCAAAACTAAAGCAAAACTCAGACTCCTGCTTCCTCTCAGGTGCGTGTCCTTCTGTTTACAAACTTGCTGGTCTCCAGCGACCGAAGTCCCCAACTCAGCTTCTGTTCTAGCACATCAGTTAAATGGTGCATCAGAACCACAATTTGATATTTTTATTTGTCAAAAAAGCCTCCTCTGAGTTCTAACCACATCAACATTCAACTTTTAACGTATTAACATGTTAGCATTTCAAGCGCATGCGTAGGCGCAGAGATGCCTGAGCGTGGTGGGAAGGTGGGGGTTCAAGTCTGCAGGCCGGGGAGCCCCGTCTGCGGGGAGGGCGGGTCCGTGTCTCTGGGCGAGGGGGCTTCCTCCGTGTCCTGTCGGGCAGGACAGTGGGACTTGTGCGGCCTGCTGCGTTCCTGGTGGGTACCTGTAATCATCCTCGCTCCTCATAAGAGGAGAGGAAAGAAACACCACCCCAGGTACGTGACGGGGGACACCACATGTCTGGGTTGGTGGCATGGGTGCGGTGGGTCCTGACAGCCCTGAACCCCGCAGACCACAGCAGCTACGTGGTTGCCTTCCCTCCACCCACTGCCTGACCTTCCTACGTTTCTCCATAGCTCGAATGCTGGGTGACTGCCCTCTACTTGAATCGTGCTTGTGCCGATCAGCCATTTATAACCTTTAAGCTTTTTCTCCTGGATGTGTGGTCCGTCCTTGTCCTCCACAGTGGCTGCTAGTGCTGGGTCATGCTGGGGACGGTGCTGGACCTGCAAGTCCAGGGAGGAAACCCAGATGTGCCTGCACGGCCGATGGTTGGGTGCCATGACCCCAGCGTCATGAGCTCGTTAGGGCAGGGATCATGAAAGCCCTGCAGAGTCTGCTCTGGTGTGTCTGTGTCGCATCTGGGAACTTAATTTAAGGGCCTTGTCCCAAGTGGCCAGATAGTACAGAGGAGGATGCAGACCTTATGCCAGGGACTCAGCATGACTCTTGGAAAGGCAGGAGACGGATTGCTTGACTAGATTTTTGTTAAATACATTTAATTATGAGAAATATTATTCTCTCAAAATCAAAGTTTGGTTCTCTCAGAATACTGCTAGATATGGTTCAGGAAGTTGTGTTTTTCACCAGTGCTGTTGCTCAGTTATCAAAATAAGACTTGTGAGTCTTTTGGAAGAAGATTACACTTGCACTGATGAAATTATTCTCACAAAGCCTGTGGCTAAGAGAGGACTACGAAAATGAGCAGGAACCCTGGCAGCTCACAGGGAGCGTGGGCTCAGGCCCCAGAGACCGTGGCAGCATCTCACATCCTTCTGGGAAGGGCAGCCGAGTCCCCACAGCCCATGCTTGTCTCAAAGGCTGTGCCATCAGCTTGTGGTCACTGTGCACACAGAGGCCACTGGTGTACTTGTCCTAAGACACATCCATTCAGATATTGAGCTGTTTAGGGTGGGAACATCCATCCATCCCCAGTGATGTCCCTGGCTGGGACTGTGGCCGAGAGGTATGAGGAATCCAAACTCGGTGCTACAGAAGAGAGAGGACAGGCGTGTGAGCTGATGGTTTCTGATTGGAAGGGACAGGGCCACCAGTGACATGGGAAGTTCAGGAAGAAATATAGGGAAACTGTGGTTTAGCCATGGCAGAAAGCTGCTCCGTGTGCAGACAAGTAGGTGGAATTTGTTGGAGTGTGTGACCGGAAGTCACAGATGTGTGACCAGAAGTCACAGATGTGCTTGTCATCATGTTACCAAACTTACTGTGTCAGTACTGTAATCATCAACTTTACCTTGTGTCCAGTATGAAATTATAAGAGCACTGATGTAAGATAATATGAAAGCTCTTTTTTTGGTCTGTAAGTCAGACATTTATCTATCTGTTTATTTAATTATTGTGTTACATTAGTCACCATAAAATACATCATTACTTTTTGATGCAGTGATCCAAGATTCATCGTTTATGCACCACACCCAGTGCTTCATGCAGTCTGTGCCCTCCTTAATCCCCACCACCAGACTCACCCAACCCCCCCATCCCTCTCCCCTCCAAAACCCTCAGTTTGTTTCTCAGAGTCCACAGTCTCTCATGGTTCGTCTCCCCCTCCCATTTCCCCCAACTCCCTTCTCCTCTCCATCTCCCCATGTCTTCTGTGTTATTCCTTATGCTCCACAGTAAGTGAAACCATATGATAACTGACTCTCTCTGCTTGACTTATTTCACTCAGCATAATCTCCTCCAGTCCCGTCCATGTTGCTACAAAAGTTGGGTCTTCATCCTTTCTGATGGAGGCATTGTACTCCGTAGTGTATATGGACCACATCTTCCTTATCCATTAGTCCGTTGAAGGGCATCTTGGTTCTTTCCACAGTTTGGCGACCGTGGCCATTGCTGCTATGAACATTGGGGTGCAGATGGCCCTTCTTTTCACTCCATCTGTATCTTTGGGGAAACAAAAGCAAAAATGAACTTTTGGGACTTTATCAAGATCAAAAGTTTCTGCTCAAGTGCCCATCAACATAATGCAGATAGATCATTACATACTTAAAATGTTATATATAACTTCATGCTAACCTCAAATCAAACTTATAACAGATACACAAAAAATAAAAAGAAAAAATCAAGCATACTACTAAAGAAGGTAATCAATCACAAGCAAAAAGAGCAAAAGAAGAAAGGAAAAGAATACAAAAACAATGAGGAAACAATTAACAATAAGGCAATATCCGTGTATAAACCTGTGTATCTCGTGTATCTCCTTTGTGCTTTTAACTTGGATTAAAAAATGAAAATTGTTTGTGTTTTCATATGACTCAGTAAGATCAGTGATCACAGTTGAACCTCTGTTTGTGTATCAGTCCAAACAGACTGAGCCTCCCAGTGATGATATTAATGATAGTAAATATTTACAGTATGTGTTTCAGAAAATCAACCGAATAGGAATAGGTTTATTTTGTGGGAACAGGGACATCTTCTGAGAGTTCCAACTGCCACAGAGAGGAGGTTCTTTCAAGACCTAGCCTTTGTACTCAAAGTATCAATCAGTTCATAAAAATAAAAGGAAAATGGAAAATAATAGCATAGGAATGCCCACTTGGAAAAAAGAAAGCATATATATCATCATGCAGTTAGGGGGAAAAGTTCAAAGCTCTGGACCTAACTTTGAGGGAATCCTAATTTCCCTATGACTTCTGACTTTGTAACTGATCTTTCCCCATATGGTGCAAAATTTCTTCTCTACTCCTTCATTATAGCTGATGGCTTAGCAAATGTAAGAATAGAGCATATTCATATGAACAGAATTAATGTTAAAGTTAATGGTGAGAAAAAGAGCAAAAAATTAGAAATTACAGCATAAAAAATTTTATCTCCAAGTAATCATGTAGGGATATCATGTAAGTTCGTCTTTTTTGCCTTTGCATTAATAATTTATTAGATGTCACTTTTTATTTGATATTACAGTTTTGAGACAAAATAAACTTTTTTTTGGCAAAAAAAAAACAAAACAAAAAAC